TCTTTTTAAGACAAGGTCTCGCTAAGCAGTTCAGGCTGGACTTGAGCTCACTTTGTAGCCGAGGCTGGTATTGAACTCACAACGATCCTCCTGTTTCAGTCTCACAAATGCTGGGATTACATGAGTGTGCCACCATGCCTGGCCCTAGTCTTTGTTAGACTGAGTACACTGACTTATTTTCTATCTAGCATATTTATATGATGTATATATACAGAGAGAGAAAGAGTGTAAAAAAAGACAGGAATATGTCACAATGATATGCCATATAGTATGTTTTCTTCTTGAGATTCTTCGACCTTAAAACTGGTAAATAGGCCAGAAGCAACAGTGCATTTGAAGGAGAATGTTCTCTTTTGAATTATAATGAAAAACTTGTCATATGGAACATATATATATATATACAATGAATCCTGTTTCAAAACAGAATACCCTTATCTCACGCAACTGTGTGGCCCCTCAAAACAAATTTTAGGTAATGAGAAGAATGTGATAACTTCAGTTTCAGGAAACTAAACTTTCTTTAAAAATTTGCAGGCAGCAAAATTATTGCAAGTTTGAGCTAGTTTGAGCAACTTAGTGATTTAGTAAGACCTTGTTTCAAAATTTAAAGAAAAAAATATAAAGGATCTGGGAGCGAAAGGAGACCTGAAAAGATTAAGTTTCAATACATATATGTACCAATTCCTTGTGATAAGTATATATAATTATTGTGTATCACACATATACACTAATAAAAAAGAAAGGATAAAATCAGACTGGAGATGTAGCTCATTTTTAAAGGCCCTGCATTCAAAACTCAGTACTGTAAAAACAAAATCTTTATGCTTATGCCTACATACGCACTTCAAACTTAAAAACCTGTTTCAACCTCAACATCAGATGGTATACATCATAATCTTGTTCTATAATAATCCTCTTTAAGCATTCATTGAACTATTTTTAAATAAAAGTAGGTAATTTAGGCGTTTCTTTCACATTTGTGGTTTTTTTTTTTTTTTTTTTTTTTTTGCTTTTTCCTTTTTATCGGTACCAGGGATTGAACTCACGACTGCCTGCCTACAAGACAGGCGCTTATGCCGCTGAGCTAAATCCCCAGCCCCTTCACATTTGTATTGTTTGTTTCCAAAATATGAGGGTAGTGTATTCTTTTGTGCACATACAGTTAAAAATGACATTGAACATAGAAAAATAAAATGGATAAGTATGGCTATAGCACTTCCTTCCTAATGATGCATGAATATCCCTAATGATATAAGGTGGTAAAGAACATTTACAAAACAAGTTGATTTTCAAAATGTTAGACAGGATTTGTACACATCACAATTCAGAAGGATATAATTATTCAATGCAAAGTTTATGAATTCAAATGAAAAAGCATAATCTGAATATGAGTGCAAGGATTTTGCATAAAGAAGAGAAATACTTTGAATTACTGATCTCTGAATAACTGTCAGAAATTTTTATTAAGTCAAACTGAACATTATTCAGTGAATACAGTTTATTCATTATAGATCTGCATAAATATGTCAAAAGGAATGATATACTTTTAAGGAATAGATAGTGAATTAGACTGCAAAATGTTTGGCTTTTTTGATTCAACTTTTGATAGTTTATTGAACATGAAAGTTGTGATATGTCTCTACTTACCAAAAAGTATAAGCATTAGAATTTTATATTAAAAGATGTTTAAAATTTATAAAATAAAGTTTCCTCAGAAGTGAGTTGACAGTTTTATGGTGCTGTCAAAAAGTACTTTGGGGACATTTCTGTCTCTTACAAAAGTTCATAGAATCATCCCTTAGCTTATTCAGTGAAACATACCATTTTTGTTACCTATGATGATGATATGCAAAACAGTTAAAATGAAAAATTCCTGACAAATCAGTTTTAATTAAATATGTTGAATGTATATTAACCTTTCTGAGGTTACTGTATCTGTGCCATAGGTAATTATAATCAGAGGCACTTTAGGAACTAGAAGCATTCTAATGCATTTGAATAATGGAAAAAATAAATGGAAGAAAAAGGACAAGTTAATTATCAGTGGTTTAGGACAGCAAAGATGGTAATGTCTTTTCTCATTCATATTTTTACTTGAATGCTCTTATCAACTGTAGAAGTTTTAATATTTCTAAATCTTCTGTAGAATCTTTTCATGGCAAATCTGAGCTGGAGTAAATAGGATGTGACATGATTAATACATTTACTTTGATGAATTGACACCAATTGCTCTAAGGCCTATCTCTGACAGTCTTAAAAAATAACCACAGTATGCCTATCAATAGACCTTTCAATTCATGTGGAAAAAGCTCTGTTTATTTCAAGGGCATTATAACCAGATAAATAAAGGCGTTAGTTTAGAAAAAATTAAAACAAATAGTATTTCTAGAAGCAGTTATAAATTTCAGTTTGAAAAATTTCAGATTTCAGTAGTTGTCATATAACATCCCCCTGAAAACTTTCTATTAAAGTGTTGATTAAACTGTTTTCTTTAATTTCAACACTTTAGTGAATATTTATCATGAGGGAAAAGACATTATTCTGTAGCAAAAAGAATCTGTGACAAACATATGTGGTCAAGTAGAGAAGCACTTAATCATTGAGAAGTCTCAAGACATTGCACTGCTGACATTCTGAAAATCCTGCTTCAGGACTGAGGCTGATCCTGGATCTTATCTCCTGCAACATCGCATTTCAGTCTTCAGAGATGTGTGGTCAGCTCAAATTATTACTTAAGTAAATCTCACTTCATTAAACTTCCTTTGTGTAAATCAAATTATAATGAGTCACAGAACCAAACAAAAAGAAATTTGAGTTTTAAATTTGGCTTCAAGAATTTAAATCCAACTTAGTAGTCAAATGTAAGCTTATTTTAATGCCTCTTTAGTTTTTTATATTCATCTTTTCAGTTAATTTCCTTGCTATTTATTATCCATAATTGCTACGTTTATGAAGCACCAATATGAATTTTAAGAGAAGATGGCTTCTTAAATGTCAATAATGAAGATTAAGGAAAATACAGGTCAATAATGAAGCCAGAAAAAATATGGATAACTGAGAATTATTTTCCTTTTAAAATAGATAATGGAAAAAAACATCAAAACCTTTTAGAACTCAATTATTTTGGATGAGATTCAGATACTCTATTAACATTTTGAAATGCTTTCTTATTCATAAACAACTGCCTTGTATAAAACAATAGCTAAATATTGTCAAAAGAGAAAAGTAATAGATTGTCCAATTCTATCCATCATAGAACAATCTCTAAAAGCAGATAAAAATGTTATTATTAGCAACAAAGATAATTGCACAATTGAATGAAAATGTTATAAAATGTGCTGTTTTAGATGATGATCGTTACCTCAGGAATTACAGCCACTGATGCAAGTAAATAAAACATCACCTTGGAAATTTTATAAAGGACATTATAGTCACCAGTCTAATGAACCACATGGAGGTCACAATAAGTTTTGTAAGATTTGTGCTGTTGACTATGCTACTTCATGTTCAACCCAGTGTATTGGTGAATATTTCACATCCAAATAGCCTTGAGAATTATGTATTTCATAAAAAATCGTGAGATGTTTGGTTTGAAATGAAAAAGTTGAGTATTTGGATTTTAAAACCTATGGTTAAATGCAGAATTGTCTTCATCAAACCCTAACTCAGCATCTAATATCTTTTAAAATGAAAATTTTATATATATATATATATATTTGTCATCACATTAATCATGAAGGAATGTGTGCCAGCTATATACAATAAGCTAACTTTGTGAAATGCATAATTATGTCATTTATAAGCCGATCTATGCAATTACATGAATTTTCTAGCTCAGAATTACATGAAACAAATTAGAATTACTTTTTTGTATCATGTATGAAATAAATTATTTAATAATTGAGTAAGACAAACTAAAAAGATAAACTGACCAGTTTAAAAATTTTACTCATCTTCGTATGGGATTTAGTCTGGATCTCAAAGTGCATTTAATTACATTACTGCAAAAATGAGTATGGTCTTGTCAGAAAGGTTTTGCAGTAGTAAATGGCTGTGTTAGTGTGCTTATTGTCCAAACTTCCCTTGAGACCCTGACACTGAAACCAGCATCCGACCCCATCAACAGGACGGTGGCAGTTGATCAATTCTAAACAAAGTTACTGGGAAAATAATTTCAATTACAAAACTGTCTCTGCTTATATTGCAGACACAGGAGAGCAGAGGTCATCCATCTTTCTGAATTTGCATGCCAAGTAGTATTTAGTTCTTGCTTTTATAAAGAATAAGGAAAGAGACACTACTGGCCAACTGCAAAACAATGCTGAGCTGCGGATTCCTACCATTCCTAAGCACTTGGATGCCAGTTAGGAAAGTGGAGATGTAGCAGGAAAGACAAATGCTCCCTTAGATCTCAGAACTGGAGTTTTTAATAAAATCTGAGCTCCAAAGTCAGCCCTATTCGTCTACCACCTCAGTGAACCGAAGTTAGGAAGAAACCAGCATCAAAGAGCCACGCTAATATCTGGGTTTGGGGCCAAAGATATATCTAAGAGACCAGTACATGGTTGTCAAAGCTGCTTTTTGTCTCTGGTGTGAGCTGGGAGAAGATAGAAAATGTTCCTTTGTCTTGAGCAGAACAGATGTTGAACCTCCCAACCGTCCCTTGCCGAGATTTCCAGGAAGTTTAAAATTAAAATTTAAAAGCCAGTTGGAAACATTATCCTTTTCATAGGGTACAGTTACCCTCCTAACAATTGGTTGACTCTTGGTCTTTCCTCTTGTCCTATGTGCATGGCAATAAGGAGTATATATCGCCAATTATAAAATGTACCTAACGCTTTTTTGAGAAAAGGGGTCTATAAACAATAAGTAACCTTTTACTAGACTTAGTTTCTTTTTTATCCACTTGCAGCCCTCTCTACTGGAATCTATAATTCAATGAAGGAATTTTCATTATTATGAAGCTAAAAACCAATTGTTCTTTTATATATCTGTACCAGCACACTCTGCATGAAGAAACCATGAGGGTGATGACTGAAGACATGCCTTCGGAAATTTCTTATGTGCCTTCTGCTTATATGACTGAGATCACTCATGTCTCACAAGCCCTTTCCGAAGTGGAACAAATTCTCAATGCTCCTGAACTCTGTGCTAAAGATTTTGAAGATCTCTTTAAACAAGAGGAGTCCCTGAAGGTAAAAGCAAAGCACTTTCATTTAGATTTTACAAGATGATTGCACTGCTCACTTATAGTTCCAGAAGAATTGACTCACATTGTCTACACAGTGAAGGTATTCTGACATACACATGAAATTTTTAAAAATGCAGGATGTCTAGCTATAGAAATGTGAGGTAGAAATAGAAACACAAAGTGTTATTTTACAATACTTAGCATTAAAACACTTTTCCAAATGAAGAAATATATATGAAGTATCATTTTCATGTGCATTTAAGCATGACAAGACTCACAAGAAATAATTTCTAATAGAAGAAAGTTTATTCTCAACCAATATATTATGTTCCTTTCTTCTACTCCAGGTAAGCAAAATTAGATAAGATTTTCAGTTGTTTTCATTGTATGTTGTTTTTTTTTTATTCTATGTTTTCCATTCTAATGTGCATATTCAATTTCAAATTAATGTTAATACATATGCTAAAATATATAGAATATGAATACATAGAAATTGATAAAATAATTTTTAAAACTACCAGTTAAATATTACCAGTATATTCCAGCTTTTTTCAAATACTAACAGCATACTACTGAATTCTGAACCAATCAAATCATGCTGAAAGAATATGTGGTGAATTTTAGAAGGCGGTATCTCAAGTTAAATGAATGTACAATCAAGAAAATGCACATAACAATGTGTCTTGTGATAATTTTTATCATATGATTCACACTCAAAATGAAATATTATAGTACAGCCAAGGCTTGGTATTTTCCAGTGCAAACAGCGTAAGATTATAGACAGAAAATGAGTTTGCTAGCAGCAGTACATATTAACTAAAGTATTTTATACTCTAAACGATTTCTGGGAGCTTGCTCCACATAACATATCTGTCTGCATAAGTGTACAAATGGATAACACTATTTGTTTTGGAAATCAGTGTTACAATATCTTGAGTGGCTTGACTTTAATATATCATATCAAATATGCTGTAGAATTACACACTAAAATAAAATAAGAGCTACATGAATCTCTGGAACTAGTCCATCCATTTCAGTATGATGCCGTTTCTTATGTGCTTTGAAATAAAAGTCAAAGCACTTATGATATAGTGATGGGAAGGAAACCAATCAATTGATAAAAGAGACATGCCAGAATGCTTGTCATTATTCACATTAACTAACTTCTCGTGACAGCATACTTTGAAACTTCATCATTGTCATTCGACATGTAAATCATGCTCATTAGCTGATACTCATTTTCAGTATATAGAGACTTCACCCAGGAAGGCAAGTGACCCTCAACTTGTGAATTTGCTCACTGAATCACTTGGTCTCCATACCTCTTTTTTTTTAAGATCTCTTAATCTGGCACACTTAGAATGATAAACCTCTGGTTATATACTCGCTAATCATTCATTCATGCTGATAAATTTAATACTATTATAACTGATGACAATTGTAATAGAATTGACTGCTGTGGTTTGTAAGAAGGCATTATTACAGGTTTAATTTAGCTTGGTTATTGAATCATTGTGAGATGCAGTTGTGGGCTTAATTCCAATGCTTTCCCAACAAATCTCCTGCAGCAGGCAAATGAGATTCCTACTTTCATGGGTTATTTGAAGGGGGATAGTTTCAAGCTCAGTCTTTTCAATGAAAATGTATTTTCTCTTAAAGGCACTCATCATTGTCATTATCCAGTAGTAAAAATAGAAAAGTAGTGCATAAATTGTACAGCTGCTGGTTGAGATGGTTTGAAATAAAATGGTGGTTGATTTTGTTCCCGACAGTTTTGCATGAATCAAATTATAGAACTATGGAAGATAATGGTGTGGTTTAATATACATATTTCTTAAAAGTGAAATGCAGCACAAATAATGTGTAGTAAGTTAAAGCAATTATTTTCTGAACAAAGCATAACTAAAAGAGCACTTAAGATTTTTAAAAATGTATTATTAGAAAACTTCCTAATCATTTTGATGGAAACTATTCAGAATAATGCCTGCATACCTAAGGTAATCTGCACTTAATATATAATACACTAGCTAAAGAATAACTAGACATTAACAAGAAACACATACATATGTTATGCATGTATTTATTTCAGAGTCAATATTAGCATTGTTAATCAATTGATTTCATTGTTTATATATGAATTTAATAATGTTCCTTATATAGGAAACAGCACCATAATTTAGCAAAAAAGCATTTTGAAAGCTGCAAACACTACTAATAGTGTAAACTGCACTGTTTTTAACAAAAAAAAAGGTTGTAGTGAAATATGCCAAAATTTAATTCATATGTTATGGCATCAAATCCTACTTTAAAGTACCTCATAGTAAAACATAATCATAAAACTAACTCTGCAATTTTAAAACTTTTGCTCTCTGCTGGAGAGCTTTAAGTATTAGAAATATTATCCTGAAAGTAGAAATCCCCTATTTAGGAGTCCAGGGGAAAGTCTTCACCCTAACGCCTCTGTATACCTGATTTTATTGAAAGTCTCTGTTTCATTGGTGTGTGGCACACTTTTGGGTCTCACCACACACCTTCCCCACACAGGGAAGCATTCCCTGCATGCTGACTGACAGCTGCCCCCTCCAACTGCCTCTGATCATTTGTTTGAGTTTTGTCTCTAGTCATCAAAGCCCACAAGTTTCAAAGAGATAAAGCTTTGCATGCCCCCTTTTTCCAGATGACCTTACGGAATAAAAGAGCGCATTTGGTGGTTATGCATCACTGCTTGTTCACTTATCATCTGGGAATCTCTGAAATATGATTCATCTGCTGACCTAATGCTCTGTACCAGGATGAAAACCCTGTTGCACACATTAGAAACCTCCCTCATACAATGCTCTTCACTGCCTCTCCGTCTTAAACCAGACACCTGCGCTTCCTAGGATCGTTCCCAAGTACACCACTTGGATCCACATTCTTGCCTCAGAACTGCTTCTAGGAGAGCTCTATGTAGGACAATTGTGAAAGAAACAATAGCATGTACAAGCACACTGTGTTGTCTGCCATACATCATGCCACGGGGGTGGGATTCTCCCATGATGCCACTGCTCCCTCACTAAACAGTTCTGTGGTTATTCTACCAAGTTGTTCTTAGTATTCATAAATGTGATTTTGAGGACAAAAATAAGAAAACAACTGAAGATAAGGAAAACAAATAAGCTTCATCGTTTTCAAGAATGAGAGTCAATTTGAGTGTTTAGGTACTCTTCTTATAATTCACCTGTATTTAGCTGTTTGATCCTGTCTGAAACTTTACAAAGTATCTCAAATTATTATCTAAATTTTTACCTGAAGAAACCGAGGAAACATACAGTAAGTAAACAAAGTTGACACAACTACTAATGTTCAAGTAGGGATTTTATCATGAGCAAAGTAGCTTTAGTACTTGTGTTTTCTGAATCTACCTTTTATGTAGCTGTTTCTAAGGTGTTATGTTGAGATTCTAAAAATTAACTTGAACAAAATAAGGTTAAGCAGTGAAGGTAAAAATTTTCCTGAATTCTAATTCAAGATGATTTCATGGCAAAGAAAAAAATGCATAGAAATAAAGAAGGAAGGTGGAAGGGAAGGAAGATATAAGGAATTAAATTTGAAAGAGAGAAGGGAAATAAAATTTGGGCATGCATCATTTCAATGGTCTCCCCCAAACTAGTGATATTTTTGTATTTGATGTGAATAAAATATGTTGTATTTTTGGTAATTGAGAGTGTGAGAAGGAAGAAAGCTCCCAGGTGTTAACAGAAGACTTAGTCTCAATGTAGAATTTAAATGATATCAAGAAATAAAGGGAAACATTTTTTTTTATTCTAGCAGTGGGAGACAGAACATCAGCTAGCAACAACAAAAAACTACATAAACATTGTGTATTACAAAGTGATACATGTTATGAAAAAAAGAAAACAAAGCTTGGTAAGGGGGTAGAAGACTAATAAAGAGGTAGGGATATGTGGAAAGGCAGTAGGTGGGGTTGCAAATTTAAATAGAATTGAAAAGAGCTGTAACCATACAGTGGCACGAAATAAGTGAGTCAGGCTTGCTGTCTTGGTTGAGGAAATAGAACAAGGCCTAAATGTTGCAGTGAACCTATTTTAACCAAGGGACAGCAAGATGGTCCATGTACTGCTAATAAAGCCAGCCAGAGGCATGATTGTAGAGCGTGAGATCACATGAGATTTGGAGGTCATTATCAAGGCTCGGTTACCATTGAATGGGCCAAAAATAGTCTATGTTCTTCTGTAGGACAATGAAAGAAATGCCAAACACACACCTGATACTAAGTAGGAAATAGCTACATTTATGGAAGATCATGGGAAGGTAGCAGGAGGAATAGCGGAAGGGCACAGGAAAAAGGAGGAGAATGAGAAACCTTTGATAACTCAGGTTTCCAGCATTAAAAGATGTTCAGAGTGAGAGAATGTCAGATTCTAGGATGTTTTCCAGGTAAAGAGCAAATTTGTATTTATACTCACATAAAGCTGCAACATGTGGTTTAAGATTTAGGGCTCAGGTGTGAGAATTTCGGCATCATGGGAAGTTGGCAGAGGAAGCCTTCAGGGTTGTAGGATCTCTTTTCTGCAGTGTTTTGCCTTCTATACTTCATTCTTCCTTGGAGTATGTGCAGAAGTACTGTCAATGAAGGCCCTCACACTCCGACTCATCTCTTTTTCCTCTGGAATATATTACATGCCATTTGAGGACAAATTTAATTATCCAAATCACTTAAATGAAGATAAAATTAATGTCATGAGCAGAGTAGCTATTTTTCTATTCTGGTTCCAGGGCAATGGATAATGGTAGGAGGCACCGTGGTTACAAATATGAACAAAATTTCAGAAGGAACATAAAGTAATTTGTTTATCTACATATTTTAATATGAGCATATGCTAAAAAGAGTTGGGCTTTTCATTATTGTAATATTGCTATAAAAAGATTGAAATTATTTTAAACTTAATAGACATGGATCCTTTAAAATCTCAAAGAAAAATTTGATTATAAATGCCTTTG